GTGGCCTCGATAAACTCGCCGTACTTCTTGGCCCATTCCAGGTCAACCTCGGCCATGATGCGGTGCATCTCCAGGGAATAGCCCCGGTTCTGGGCCTGGGAGTCAAGAAATGCCTGGGTTTCGTCGGTGGACATGGTTTGCTCCTTGTCTCTTCTTGCGTCTTCACAGGTATCGGTCCGGATTAGGTGATTTGGTGCGGAGATTCCGTAGGGACAGCCCTTGTGGCTGCCCTATTCCCTTCGCAAGACCACGTGAACTGAAACTCTGCCATCATTACAGCCCGTAGTGGGTGCGCGCTTCCGCCTGCCGGGGGTTGTCCTGCTGGAAAAGGTCGGGATGCCTGCCTCGATGCAATGCCAAGTAGTAGGTGAAGAGCTGCAACGGCACGACACAGGCCAGGGGACTCCACAGTTCCGGCAGGGGTTTCTTGGCAAAGCTCGCCGTTGCCAGGGACGACAGTTCCTCGTCACCCTCCTGCACCAACGCCCACACCGGGGCGCCGGCGGCGGCCGAAGCGCGGGCAATGTCCAGGGACCGTTCGTAGCCCGGCCCCGGCGGGGCTATCAGAGTCACCAGGCAGTCCTCGTCAACCGAGCAGAAGGGGCCGTGCAGCAGTTGCTCCACCTGCAAACCCTCGCAGTCCGAGGCGCTGGTCTCCTTGATTTTCAGGGCCACCTCGTAGGCGTTGGCCGTGTTGGGGCCCCAGCCCACAGAGATGAACCGTTGCTTGTCGCCAAACTGCTCCACCACATCGGCGATGTCCTGCTGCCGGTGGATTACGTCGGCCACCACGTCAGGGACCTCCAGCAGTTCGTCCTTCAAGTCAGCCACGTCGCCGTTCCTGCCCAGGGCCGTACCCAGCTCTGATGCCAGCATGGCCAGCACGGTGAGGGCGGATGTGTAGCTTATGGTGAAGGCCGAAGAACGCTCGGGCGACACCGTTTGCAACGATACGTCCGCCACCCGCAGGCGCGGACCGGGGTCGGTGGAGGTTACCGCCACGGTGTAGGCCCCCTTCTCTTTAGCCAGTTCCAGGGCCAGGAAGGAGTAGGTCTTGGTACCCCGGTGGCTGATGATTATCACCGCATCCTCGGGGCCCAGGGGCGGTGGGTAGGAACAGAACTCAAATGAGTGCCACCCCTGCACCTGGATGTTGGGGCCGGCAAAGCGGCGGAACCAGTGCTCGGCCACCAGCACCGCGTGCCACGAAGTACCGATGCCCACGATGTATATGTTGCGTTTGGTGGCCAGCGCCGCCGCTACCTCGCGGGCCCCGTCGGCGTGCCGGTCCAGCATCCGGGCCACCGCCTCAGGCTGGCCGGTGATTGCGTCGTACATGAAGTAGGGGTGGGCCTGACGAATTTCCTGCTGAAGGGTCATGGTCTTCCTTTCCTGCTTGCGAAGGTAGTCTTGTCTGTTCACGAATATACACGAATGCCCACGAATGGGGAATTGCGGGGGCCTCGTGGTACAATTTGGCGGTCGGCCCACAAATTCCTGCGGCCTAACGAAGGAGGCCCGCCACGAGCTCTGCCCTTCCGCAGTTTCCACCCTTCCTGCCCGAGTACTTTGGGCGGGAGGACGAAAGCGACGACAGCGACTTCTACATCCAGCCCCGCTTGGTGGTCCACATCGACGATGTGGCCATTGCCGCCGTGGGCAACGTTTTCCGCAGCCTGATTCCTCCGGACTCGGTGGTGCTGGATCTGATGAGCAGCTGGCGCTCCCACTGGCCGGCGGACCATCCCCGTTCGAGGCTGGCCGGCCTGGGAATGAACGACGTCGAGATGGCTGAGAACCCAGACCTCGACGATTACATTATCCAGGACATCAACAAGAATCCCGTCCTGCCCTACGAGGACAACACCTTTGACGCGGTGGTCATCACGGTTTCAGTCCAGTACCTTATCCGCCCCATCGAGGTTTTCAGTGAGGTGAACCGGATCCTCAAGCCTGGCGGCATCTTCATCGTCACCTTCTCCAACCGGATGTTCCCCACCAAGGCGGTACGTATCTGGCGATACTCCACCGACCGGCGCCACATCGACCTGGTGGCCGCCTACCTGGAGGAGGCCGGAGACTTTGACGAAATTCGGGGCGGCTTCACCAATCCGGAAACCAGCCCCCCGGGAGACCCCCTCTTCGCCGTAGTAGCCAACAAAGCCACCGACTGAATCTATGGGTGATATGTAGGGGCAGCCCTTGTGGCTGCCCTGCTTTACATACAGGCCAACCTGGAGGGTTCTACTCACTTACCCCGCTTCGTGGTTCTTCGTGCCCTTCGTGGATAGCAAAAACTTCGTGGCCTAACTCCGGTCCTTGGGCGGGGTGGCCGTCAGCACCAGCAGGCCGGCAATAAAGACAGCGGTGGAAAAGATGCGGAAGGGCCAGAAATAACTGCCCGTGAAGTCGTACAGAAAACCGGCTATGATTGGCCCCAGCGCCTGCCCGCCCACCTGCACCGGCAGGGTTATTCCGGTAATGCTCCCCAGGTGCTCCCGCCCGTAGTACTCGGCCCAGGCCAGCCGCAGCAGCAGGTGCAACCCCCCCACACCCGCGCCCAGGATGGAGGTGGCCAGCAGGCCCCAGGTCAAAGTCGAACTTGCCTGGACGCCGAGAGCACCCCCCGACACACAGAAGGCCGATGCCGCCAGCAGGAACCGGATGGGAACCCGCCGCGACGCCAGGCTGGACCCGACCAGTCCTCCAATCATCTGGCAGAATGCGAAGGCTCCGGCGGTCAGGGCCGCCAGCGACGCGTCCATGCCCTGGTTGATGAAATGGGACACCTGGTGGAGGCTTACCCCCGCCTGCACCATGAATCCGGCTCCCGAGAAAATAGCCATTACGTAGAAGGCCCGGGTGTGCAGGGCGCGGGAAACGGTGTAGTTGTTTTCCTGCACGGGAGTTCCGGATTCAGCAGTCGGCTGGACGCTGGTCTGTTGTTCTTCGGTTGCTTTGGATTCGACCGACTCCTCATGTTCCTGCTCAGCCGAGGCTGATGCCGGCTGCCTTTTCGGGAGCCGGCTTTCCCCACGGCGCGGGTCGGCGGCCAGCCCCATGTCCTCGGGGCGTCGGGCCACCAGCAGCAGGGCAGGTAAAACCCCAACCACGATGGTATAAATACCCAGCGAGGCCCAGGCAAAGCGCCAGCCCCAGCCGCCGAATCCCTCCCAGCCGCCAATGAGGAACTGGGCCACCAGCGGCATGGTTGCCAGGCCGGTGCTCTGGCTGACGGTCAGCAGGAAGAGGGCAAAGGGCCGGCGGCGGATGAACCAGTTATTTATCGCGGTGGTGGTCCCCAACTCCAGGGGACTGGCAAAGGCCATCCGGCCCGGCACGTAAAGGGCGTAGAAGGCCCAGGCCTGGCCAACCAGCGACAGCCCGAAGGCGCAGCCCCCCACAATGGCCGCGGTGATCGCCAGGATTACCCCTGACCCGTAGCGGTCTATAAGCCGTCCGATGAAGGGCGAAACCCCGATGGCGCACAGTCCTCCCAGGCTGACCACGCCGGAGAAGAGACCGTAGGACCAGCCAAACTCCCGGGTCATGGGCACGGCAAACACAGACAGTGTGGCGACGGCCATCAGCGGGGAGGGCGTAGCTGCCAGGGACCGATGGAGATATGACCATCCGTAGTAGAGACAGGGCAGGGAATGGCCAGTCGGTCAGCGCAGGGAACCGGTTGCCTGAAAAATGTGACTCCGGGGGCGCCGGTCACACCGGCGGAATGGCATAGGTGCTCAGGAGGTAATGGAGGCCCTGCACGGATGGGTGACATTCCGCACTTGCCAGCCGGTCTGTCTTCATATGTCTTCCTATGATGTCATCTTGAGCCAAAGCCACAGGATCCAAATCGTCCTTGTAATCGTGGCCTTCTGGTTACCAGACCCAGACGCGTCT